TTTTAATCCTATGGTGATTATTACACCACATAGTTAAGAGCACCCACAATCAGGAAAAAGAATGTGTGAGTACAGTGGGCAAGATAATAAGAACTGTTACTCTCATACTTACTACTACCTTCCGTAGCACTAAGTACTTGAGAAAGATACAAACACGCCTGGAGGACCTGAATACAGGTCAATCTTGAGGCAAATAAAAAAGCATTATCATCTACACAGCACTATATTTAAAAAAGCTAGACCTATTAGTTGCATTCTTCTCTAGCAGAAACAATCTTTACTGTGAATTATTTCAGGTCTGCTCATATTGTCTCAAAGTTGTGAAGAGCCTATGACTTGGCATTGACTCAGGAGCATATGCTAGTTTTTAATACTAAGAAACAGTATAAATTATTATTTCAGTCTGAAATTGCCTGTTCATTTCTATTACAGAAGGTTTGTGTTTTTTTATGAAACTTTACCTCCAAACTGTGATCCTTTGTAGATGAACAGTTTAAATACATGCTTTGAAAACTAGCTGTGCAGGAGGCTCTGAAAGAAGCCATTGTCCAGTGGGAATGGAGTGTCACACTATGACATGAAAAGATGTGATCTTTGACAGTGATCACTGAGGGAACACTCAGCCAACTTATGAAGGAAAAGAGCTAGCTGTGCTAACTGGGACATATACACCATATACTTTGTAGAAGCAAAGACAGAAATAACTGTAGTATTTTAAAACTGCCAGGTATGAATGTACTTACTCTTTCGGAATTTCGAAGAGAGAGTTCTCTCATGAAAGAAACAGAAAGTAGTTTAAATTGAAGGGACCGTGTTCACTCTATCCTTTTTCCTTTATTAAGATTCAATTTTCAATTCCTGTATCATCTGTGCTCAGTTTAAGAAAACTTTTGAAAATAAAATCAATGAAATATTCCACATAAAATTAACATAATATATAATATGAAATATATGTTGCCTTCCATAGGCAGGGTTGATATCTCAACTACCTAGTAAGCAAAGTAGTGCAACAAGCAAGCAGAGAGGTAAGTATCTTCAATCATTCTGCCCTTGGTTGCTGAGCACTGAATTCTATGGGGTCTCAGAAAACTCTGAACTTTCGAAAATATGAACAACTGAGTCAAGACAGTGAAACCATCAAATGGTAAATTCTTCATCCAAAAAAAGTGTTCTTTATCCATTAAGTATACTACACAATACCATTCACAATTCTTTTTCTTTGTACCTACAGGGGTGTGCCAGTTTAACTACATTTTCAAGTCAGTATTCTAGCACTTTTCGAAGTTTGTAACTGGCAGTGAAGCAGGTAAACATTCCTAAAAATGAAAATTGGTAATCTAACTTTGACATTTTGGCATTAAAGAGGCACATCACTTGCCCTAACGCACTAAGTCTGATGCATGCAACAAAGCCTGTAGCTTTAACTCACCACACTGTAATTCCCACAGGGGAATAACGTGGTAATAACATAACTGGGGACAACCCATGAAGGTGTTTTTCTCAGAAAACCTCTAGTTCAAAGAGGAATCAGCTCACGGAAATCCTAGTGAATGAGCACAACATCCTCCCAAAGATCAATTCATCAAGCAAATATGTCTTAAATACATATAACAAGAAGCAGTCCTATATAAAATACTCAATTGAAGAACTTTTCAAGACTAAACACAGAATATTAACAGTATTGCATTTATTTGTGACCACTTGTGTGCCTAGTGTTCTCACCTACAGGTTGCTGCTGCAGAAGGCCACAATCTCAAATTCAATACAGTAAAAAGATGACTGTGAATGTTAAATCATTTGCTTTCTGTTGCTCAGCAAGCCAATACACAAAACTGCTGTATCACCAATGTTGGTCCTAGGGTGAGGTTGTAAGACCAAAGCTTCAGCTATTCTGTCTTAACTTACCACTATGGATGGTAAATTAAAATCAGTTCACTGAAGACAGAGCTATAGGGTTACCGAAAGACTTTTACTACCCTTGTTGTTTGCTTCCTCCTCAATGCTATCTGTTTGTGCTTCAAGGCAGTTTCCATCCCATCGCTATGAAAACCTTTCATCTACAGGATCCATGTTAAATACAGCATACCGAAATGCCCACAAACTGAATAATACAGGACAAATAAAATTTTATGCAAATTTATTCATTAGCTTTAACAATAGTAATACATAAATCAATACTATGTCCAGCATAAGGTTGTATAATAAAATATGCTATTCTGGTAAGACTGATTTTTAGTGCGTACATTTTAAGGGCAGTTTTCATCCAAATTGGACACATTTAAAAATAATAAATAAATACAAGGCCAAAAATGCTTACTTCATGAAAGTCCTGCTAACTTAGACTTCAGGCTCCACATTGCTTCAAAGCACTAATCAGTACAGGTGTCTGCGTACATCTCAGACTTACACACACACAGGTTGTGCTCAAGCAGCATACATTTTTTAGACATCTGACTCAGGCCAATACACACTAGATTTCCAATATAGACCTATTTATTCCTCTTAAAGCTAGCACCCACCTTTCTTCTTTCTCTTTTAGGATTGTCTTACCTTCCAGCTGTTATCTGCACATATGAACCCTAGCAAAATTATGTGTACAAAATACAAAGGTCCAGCCTGCTCACAATACTACATTTTTGGCTTGAGATCCAGACTGCACTGTCTAGTGGCACTACTTATGAAACAAACTGCTACTCAACTCAAATAAGATTATATTGCTCTTGCGCGGGGGGGAAATACTTTGGAAACGGAGAGGAACATGGTATGCTCCCAGCTCTATTTGTTATGTTTCTGGAGCGCTCTAGATTTCAGGAGCAAATCCTCTCTGGGAGGGCTGGTGCTTAGTGCTTCAGCATTAAGCTTTAGGCACGCTGGGTTCTGTAGTCTATGGACAGCCCACAAGCAGCTGCATTTTCAGCTTTGTTTCGCTGATGGCCAGTGAGTCCAATATATAAAGTGGCATTCAGATGTTCATCAAAGTGCAGTATACAGGCATTCACTGACATTTGGGCTACCTTTATTTAAATTAAGCAATATTGAAATCTAGTCCCAATTTAGATCAGATACTCATGAGAAAACATATTTGGCAAATCAGAGCTGTTGTATTTACTTATGTGTACTTATCACATACTGTATATACTATCCTTTGGGCGTATTTATTCTACAAATCTAGATAGCCTTGTTTCATTTGGCTTCAGACTTCTAAATTCTGCTGATAGCAAAATTCCCTTTTCCTGAAGAAGTTACACTCAGGATTGAGTCATACATTTTAAAACTACTCTAGTTTATATATTTCATTTTATCAAAACAAAACCCAAAAGCTTGGTCGAAATATAAACACTTACAAACCTCATGAAAATATCCCTGAGAAACTTTCAGTAATATAGCAGTAATTATAAGTTTTTGGTCCATTAGAAGAAAAAAAATTGTTACACCCAGTTACTGAATACTGAGGGCTACAAGTACATTAGCTGTACACTGGACTCCCATTCACTCACTCCTCTTACAAAATATTGTATCTGAGACAAGAGCCACTAGAGGTTTTTTACATTCTATTTAGTTTGAAATAAAAAGTAATTGTTGCAAACTTTAAGATGAATAGCCTAGATTCAGCCCTGGTGTAACGCCTTTAATGTCAATGGAGTTCACACACATTCCAGGGTTGAAGTCTGGCAACATAAATGACTGGGTGAAGGACAGTACCTAAAATAAAAAAAAAACTTAGAAGTTACAGAAGATACTTTTCACAAATTGCTGACGTATGTTTTTGCATACTACTTACTTTGCAAACAAACATTTTATAAAAGGTTTCAATTTAGAAGTCATACTGTCACACCATAAGAAAACTCAGAACACCACTGGGTTAAACTCTACTGAGAAAGCAAAGTGCATGGAGTAGCTTCCACAATAGTGCACATGAAGTGTTAAGTACTGTGTTAGAACACATGCAGGGTAAAAAAAAAACCAAAAAAACCACACCACCCAAAAACAACAAAAAAAAACCACCCCAAAAAAACCCCAAGAATTTCTTGAAAAATCAGAGGGATATATCATTCTTCATTGCTCTGAAGTTGCTTCAGAGGGCCACAAAGTCTGACATCTCATTGTTTTAGTGATATTTTAGAACAAACTAAGTCAAAATTTACATACACGTGAAACAGATAAATGCAAGCAATCCACTTTTTGACTTTTACCTGGAACACTAAAAATTTTCCAATACATCAAGCTTTAATAGGGCTTCTGAAAATAATAACATTTGAAATTAAACTAAAGCTGCTTGTACTCTGAGGTGAGAACTACACTAGCCCCACACTTTATCTTTCTGTACCAGTACGCCTGACCTTAGCACTTTCTGCTACATCAAACTTGAGCAGACCTGTCATTTGCAATTAAAAAAGCCATGCATTATAATGTTACATCAATAGCTTCTGCTAAACTGAGGCTATGTTTTAGTTTATGAAGTGCAACAAAAGTATAATACCATATCTTATACTTAGCACTCTTCTAACTTCTAACAAAACTTGCAAAAAAACCTACAAAGGTGTTTCTGTAGAGTTAAACCAAAACAGACAGAATACGGAACAAGTATTTGGGGAAAACATGAGAACTTAACACTTCAGGAATCCAAGAAGGATGTTTATACCAATTTGAGAAGATAAGGGAGCAGAACTGTTCATGGCAAGAGAAAAAACAAGGAAAACCTCACAAAACCAAATACTGTATATCAAATTATTCTGAAGCAACTAAAAACCCCTTGTTTTGCTCCATGAGCAGAAGAATTACTCAGAATTCATGAACAATGTGTACAACCATTAAACAGTACCACTGTGGGGGTCAGTGACAGAAATTCAACATTATTTTTTTGTGATCGAATACTAGATGTATGACTTGTGGGGTTCCTTTGAAACACCAGCTGTCATGATCCAACCACACTGTCCTCTGCCAAACATGGAACATTTTTACAGGGTCACTGTAAGGTGAATTTTAGTTCCTTGGGACAGCTTCCTCAAACAGCAAAGTTACGTATTCAACTCTAAAGAAACACCTTAGACAGGGTCATAAAAGGCCGTGGATAGGTTTTAACCATGATAATTGTGTAGCGCTAGCAGGTTAGTAAGAGAAGTGGATCCTTTCAGACAGTAGATGTATTACCAGGTGGTGAACTGTCAGAGACTGCTTTGGTATCAGGAGTGCAACAAATAAAAAGTTGTTTTCCCAAGCTTTTCTGGGCAAATCTGAAGTACATTATGTGGCCCATTGCAACAAAAGACACAGAAATAAGCACCAATAAGCCAAAAGCTTCAGGATTTGGGGCCAAGATGACCATGATGAAGTGCAGCAAATCAAGCAGATAATTCATGGAGTTTTGGACACCATTTATGATTCCTCTTTCAGATTCTACCACATTTTCTTGGAGCAACTGCGTGACAGTCAAATCAAAGGACCAAAGGCCTATGGAGAGAAAAAAAGAGTTATCTGTACAACCAGGCTTCTCATGGCAAACTTTCACTACTGACACAATTCAATTCATACTTCCAAACATCAACTTCTGCCAAAAATGCACAGGACAAGCTAGCCTCTTGTCAGACTAGAGCAGATTTCACACTGACAGTCAAAAGCAATTTACTTTCCCTTTACCAATATTTCCTGAAATAATACATACAGTCTGACACATTAACTTGCCTGTCACATCTGACTTCAACATGTCTATCAACTTAATGTTTTGCTCATCTGTTCCTTATTTAAATAGCTGTTTTACAGCTATTTACAGTGTATTCGTGCCAGCTACAATTGCTAAGTTTTGCATAAGGTGTTTGCAAAAAACCTACACAGAATACATAATAATTTACAACTGTCTTTGTAGACACCAGCTTCTATACTGTTTTAAAACTGAATCATTAATGGACTAAAAGTTTATCTTGAAAATAAACTTAATATATGTGAATCAAATATTTTATTCCTCCAAAATTCAGCAAAAGCTGCAGTAATTAAGAGGACAAAAATTCTACAGATGAGAATTACTGTTCATTACATTTACGTATTTGCATCTTCTACTTACAGATAGTACTACTACACTAACCAGCAATTCCTCAGAAAAATTAAGCTGTCATCCAAAACAAAGTTTCTGTTCTAAACTCCTTTGCTGTTCACAAGTTTAAAGGTCAGACAATTAATTTAATGAATGGATTAATTTAGTAAACTGCTAAGTTTGAAGGTTTTCATAGGAGATGTATTTATTTTGGTTTCCTATTAACAAATGGTTTTATCAGGCTGTGAAAGAAGATGATCTAGAGATGTGCATTCCAAAAAACAAGCTACATTCACCTCCAAATGTGGTAACTTTTCTCCTACTAGTGATATATGATGGGCAAGAAATTAGTACTGCAAACTAAACTCTGCACTGTAGCCTACAATTCTAAACTGAAATTTGTATTTAGTTGACAGACACTGTGATTGTTATAATTAAAAGCAGACAATGAATCAGATTTTCATAAAAACATAATACTTACCAACTCTAGCAGCAATGACTCCTGCAAACAGAAGACTAACAGAGATTAAAGGCACAGGCTCAGGACTCATCTCTGGGTCACCGTTAGCAGGAGTAGTAGACCCGTTTAACAAGTTGGGCATTCCAGTTGAAAAAACCATTTCGGGCTTATCTTCTGGAGATGCTATAGTAGGTAATGGTTCGCTTTCAAAAAGCCTGGCACTGATGTCAGCAAATGGGGAAACAGTCAGATCCATAGGACTTCCAGGCATGAACACAGAGATGGCACATAAGAGCAGACAAGCAAACTGAGCAACTCCAGAAATAAGGCCCGTGCGAACCAGGCCACATTTGCGACGAAGCCAAGTGAAAGCTACTGTTCCCATGATTCCAGTGACTGCCGAAGCACCCATCAGGAGGCTTAGCACAGAGCCACTCAAACCCTGAGTGTACGCATAGCCTGTAGTAATACAATCAAAGCCCAAAACAGTCATATACAGAAATGCAAGACCCATGCCTGCAAGAAACACTGGCTGGTTGTAGTATGCAACCCATCCATCACGAAACGTGATGAAAGGTTCAGCAATCCGGGCAGCGCAGCTGACTTCCTTCTCCTGTTGGGGCTCAAAGCCAGTTACATCTTTCTCAACAATTAACTGCACTCCTTCGGCAGGTTTCATGTCGCTCTCTGTAAACAGAAATGTAACTGTTAGATACACTCCTGTCTGGAAAGCGCAGAGTGTAAACTGCAAGACAATTGTTTGCAGTTAGCAAGTTCACTGCTGCAGAAGTGCATCAGTGAAATTCTGCTATCAACCTTCCTCTGATTACTTTTAAAGTGTCCTTAAATCCCACTTGTATAGTAAGATCAAGTAAAGTTTATCCCTAGCAATTTAAAATCCTGCTTATTTAATTAAACTGTGGTAGGACAAAGCATCGCCTGTTTCTTTTCAATAGACTTCCGACTGAATGATCCCTTTCCATAAAACATTATTTGCTTAATGAATGACAATGTTAGTTGGCATTTTAACATAGCTTTGTATGTTTAAATACATTAACCACAGAAATTAGGGAATACTTAAACATCTGTCAATATCTCAGGTCATAGCAGAAGAAGCAAGGCAGAGATGCTTGTTGAAGCCTACCAAAAAGACAAAAGTTTTCAACACTTGACTTAATCAAGACCATCCTTTTCTACAATTCCATTTTCACTCTGATAGAGGAGAATGGCACTTCCACTGGTCACAGACAAAAAAGTGTTTAGATTAGTAAGGTCACTAAAACTATACAAATGTTTGGAAGCTGGAGCAGTGTTTTTACACTGTCAAGTTTGAAACAAAATCCACATACAGCAAGTGAGACACAAAGTATTTCTGCAACTTTTAAAAATGCAAGTCTGCTACTGAAATCAGAACACTGCAATGGTAAAGACTGAGATGTTTCCTACATACTGATGTTTGCTAACTGCTTCATTCTTTGGGAGCATTCAAGAGCCAGTTCCAAAGCTATTGAGCCTTCTACCCTCTTTATCTTGCTCCCCTGTCCTAGGCTGCCATCAGCCCAGTCCAATAGCTTACTGGACCAGCTACTACTCCAATGGATCTGCTGACTGGAAAGAAGCTATGTCTCTTCAGCACTTTTAATAGCAGCCTCCTATGTCACTATACATTGAGCAAAGAACAGATTGCTAGCTAGCTTTTAAAGAAAAACCAGGATTTTTTTATAATCTTTCTTTAAAAACAACCCACAACACGTTACAGCTGGGAGCCCACAGCTTGAGCTTTCGGTGTTATTCACATACTGCTATCTCAAAAATGGGAAAACACATTTGTATTCCAGTATCTGATGCTGCAAATACTTCATAACTGAAAGTCTGCTTCCAAAACAATTTTATTTTCTGATATTAAGACTATCTACAGTAATTAATATAAATTTTAAGGTTGTTTATAGTCATAGCCATCCACATTGCAAATCCCAGTTGCTCAGCCTGGACAAGGAAGCAGAGTAGAAGGTCAAAGACTTTTTCCCCCCCCTCCATCATTTCCTGCATCATGTGGAACTCATTGAAGCATGCCAGACTAGAAATACTACCACCTATTCTACAATCTCCTGAAAGCCTGTTAGTATTATGTGTAAGTAGAGTTAAGTCAACAAGAGAGAGTCCTACACAGGCTGTTTTGCTTGTGAACACTACAGAGCAAAGGGCTTTGTCAGCTTATTAGCTATGGTATAGATCTACAGGAGTATGCCTTGTAATTAGCCCTAAAAAACAGGGCAGACTTACTCTAGAGGGTTAATTAAGAGGAGAAAATTCATACTTTGGCTGCATTTTATGGGACTCCTCAAAGAGCTGCACAAAGAATTGTCACCTAGATTAGAGTCTCTGGTATCTATATACAAGACCTGAAACCTTCAAGCTATGAGTAGAAAGCTATATAGCCTCAAAGCAGTGCTTGTAGAAGACAAAAGTCAACACTTCAGTTTGACTGATACAGTGAATATACTGTAAATTTGAACAGTTACTTTTGTGTTTTCAATACCTTTCTTTACATTCAGCTGTTTCAGTTCCGATTCTTCAACTTTTGCACATTTGAGAGCCAGAGCAGGAGTTTTCTGATAAACCTTCCAGAGCAGTAGATATTCCACACACATCGACATCAGGTTCCAGCCAGAAATGAATCCACAGCCAATCATCGGGGAGCCAAATGTCATTATCTGACCAACTGCCATTGGGGCCAGGATATTGGTCAACTGATCAATTCTTCTTATTGTGGCGTTCATATCTGTCAGAAATGATTTGATGATATAAAGTAAGTGCTGAACACCTACAGTGACATACTCACTAACATAATTGAGAACTGCACATACATACACATCAAGCTGAGAAGTCTTGTGTCAACTTTAAGTGGTTCCAGCAGGAGCAAGAGTTAGACTGCTAATCAGAGACACCATCAGTGTGTTCCAATGTTTAAGCTGACTGGGACCAAACAAGATGTTTGTAAGCCAAATCCCTACTACTGACAGCTTTCTCTGCATGAGGTCTTTCAGCTTTAACACACAGTTTACATTTGAGAGCACTTGTACAGGTAGACCTGTTAGTCATGACATCAGGTTACCCTTACATCCTAGTGACATTCTGTAATTTTTCAACCCAGCACACACAGCTCCAGACATTAAAGGAATCTCATACGATGGAATTCTCTCCTGTAAAGATAATTTTAGCAAGCACTACCTCCCAATACTAGACCAGTTATTTCTTAATCTCTTCCATTTACTTCTAATAACTGGTGACCACTGTACCCACTGTTGATAGCAGCGGACCTTTGAAATGGCTTTAAATGTCCTTATCAAGTCACATTGCCTACAACTGCCATCAACCATTCTCAGAACTTACTGAGCGAAGTCCTCACTCCTTTCTGTTCCACACTTTGATATTTATGGTCAAAACAAGCAGCCCATTCTTAGTATGAATGCATCTTCCATTTGCTGGCAGGGGATGTCTCACCCTCCCCAATCTTACCAGCTTTAGTGTCATTACACCCTCTGGGCTCGTGTAAGCTTCCAGCTAATGGTGCCATTGTTCCATCCCTAAAAGTTGCTAGACACTGGATGGTTTGGCACATCAGGGCTTCAGGCTGCTTAGAAGTACATCTCAAACCCATTTTAGAGTCCTACTATGAAATTAGAACTTTTGAAGGGCAAGTGAAACTGCACACAAGTATGAATCTGCTTTTCTGAGTCTGTAGAGAACTACTGCTTGCCATTCAAAGAAATGTTTAAGTTATTCTATTTAGAATTCAAAGTCAATTTGGACTGATGGTTAACCAAGATGAGTAAGTTAGATATTTATATAATATTTGGCTTTAGAAATTCCAAGAACTAAGCTTTGTTTTTTGAGCTATTTGAGGAAGGCTAGTATTTCCACTCAGGAAAAGTATAAAGAGTGAATAGAAAAACTAATCAAGGACAATGAAGAAGAGGAAGTCAAGGCAATTTTTTATTTCCCTAGTCCATTAACTTACTTAAGGCTCCTCTTTAAGGAAAGGTAACAGCGTAGAGATTGACAGACATATTTGCTGCAAAGTCAGCACTGGCATTTAATTTTTTCAAGTTAAGGAATTTGAATAGTCTCCAAATGACATTATGGTTAAACATGTAACAACCCTATTCAGCCTGAAGAGATCCTTTAGATACATCTGTTGAACTAAGGTGCTTAGTTCAGTGGGCTTTTTTGTTCTTAAGTTGCATGAGACTTGAGATTAACCTCTTGCCTGATTTCTCAGTACAGAATGTAAGTGGTCATATAATTCTGAGATCATGAAGCAGTACAGAGGCAGGACTGCCTCCTGTGCAGCCGTTCTCTGGAGGTGTGGTCTGTACCTTATCTCATGTGTAGTAAGTAACACAGGGATTAGGGGGATGAAAGAAGAAAGGTTAATGAGAACCATTAGAACTTGAAGGCTTTTATGCATAGATGATATTTTTCTACTTGTGATTCACATACATAAAGACAGTTAATCTGTACTGCTGCTCTACAAAAGGCACGACCTGGAAAGGCACTGCACGGTCAAAAGAAAAGACTACGGTGGAAAATTTATCTACTGGGAAATGAAAGCAAGACACTTTTAATGCATCTATTTAAGAATTGCCCTCTCCTGAGACAGGAAAATAAGATTCCTTAATGGGAGATAAACAATAAGAATAAAAGCGCAATATAGGATTCAAATCCCTAAAAGGACTCTAGCACGTAAACTGAACTTTATGGGCCATTTAGGCAGCTTCACACAAAATTAGACTCCAGAAGCTGAAATGCTGTCTAGGCCTGGAAGTATCTGAACTCCACAAGTGTCAGACTTAAAACTTTAGTCCCAGAGTTACTTCAGCGAGCTACACATGTCTTGGCAACATGAAGCTGCTCTGTGCCTTGCTTGCACTTCAGTATCAGTTCCTCTATTTGGGATGGCTTCAGTCCCCTTACAGGGCTGACCCAGAGCCCATATAGCTTGTCCAAGTTCATTGCAAAAAATGCTGGTTCCCACACTGCCTGTTACAATCAGACCAGCAGCACAGCCAAAGATCAACCCCTCGGTGCAAATGGCCTTGTGGCTAGGCTAGGAGTACCCTCCCAGAAAAGGGGAGACTAGTTCAATGCATCCTTGGGGGGGATCTCAGTCTCTCACATCCAAGTAGTGTCATGTCTACCAAGCTGCAATAGAGTTTGAACATGAACTCATTCTCTCCCCTAATAACACCATGCCACCATACAAGAAAGTCAAAAAGAAGGAAAACAATATTTTTCGCCTAGAAAACATTTAAGTCTGTATATCGGACATCAAAGGAATATAGAGCTTTCAGTTCCAACTGAAAAAAAGTGCTCGCAGATCCAAGTTAGACTCTAATGCTAGATAAGTGCAACATTTCAAATATATCTGCGTGCACAATATTCCCTACTGGCAATTTCCTGATCCACCTACTTTACTGTTCTGGACTTCATTCTCATGTACCTCTTACTTTGATCCCTATGTGAGGAACCCAGTTACGCAACAGTTTTCTGTTTCATTCCAGACCTAAAAATAAAGTATTGCAAGACTTGGCTGCAAGTGCCCAGAAGTTAAATAGCTTTGCTATTAAACACTGGTTATTTAAGGGTGTGTTGTGCGTTTATTTTTTCAGTAAGAATAAAGTTTTCCTGACAAAGCTGCAGTAGGACTAAAAGGGGGACAAAACAAGTTTAGGGATGCCTAACCGAACTGTAATCATAACAGTAATTTCTAATCTTAGTAAGTGTAGTCCAGAGCAGGGAAGAATAATATAAAGACTGCCCTTTTTTCCTGCTGTTCTCTCATAACATCTGGAACTCAAAGATGTGCTGACCTCTATAAAACTCTAATCTAAAAATCAAGCGTGGAAAGTAAGATATTTAAGGTATTAAAAAGGCAACATATTTCACCTGCCAGTTTGCTTCTGTCTTCCCCAGCAACCACAACAATCCAGTCCCTCTGAATTGTGATCGCTGTGGCAGTGCTGGCCAAATTGGCAATATTTGCTATTGTGATAACCAGGATATAGCACATTGTCTAGAGAAATGGGAGGAAAAAGTTACAAGATGAGAAAACTGATGAAGGGAGATTTTCCTGCTCTGTACAACCAGAAAATACACTTTTACATTCGAATCCATACATTTTCATGTTAATTCTTCAGACAAAACAAGACCAAGTCTACTTTACAATTCCTGACAGAAAACAATCAACTCTGTTTACCCAACTAGCTCAAATTTTCATTTGCCAGTTTTAGCTCACAGGAATGTCTAAACAGACTAGAGAGAAAAATAGAAATTAATTGGTCTCCCATGCTCCCCAAAGTTGCTTTGTAAGTTAATTCCTTATTAACATGTTCAAGCACTCACAAGAAGCCATCCATGGTATAAGGTCAAAAGCTGTGTCTTAAACAAGAAGACAATCATCAGGATAATACCACACAGGATGACAGATGCATTCTGTACAACCAAGGACGTCTGGGCCACTGTTTTAAATCAAAACAGAAAAAAAACAACAGTTATGAACATAAGAATGAGCTAACTATAAGCTTAAGGAGGTTATAATGAAGGAACACGCAGAGATTCTTTAAATGTTTTTATTTTCATATTCTCCCCCCAAAATATAAGTAGTAAAACTATACTTCATATTAGGTTTTCAGTCTTCCATTGTCTTAAATAAAAAAAATTAACATCTGATGTAACTTCAAAGCTCTTAATTCACAGGCCACGTAGGTCTTTTCTCAATCAAAAACCAAGCTGCACCTGTTTAAATGCTGACAATGTTTTTAAAAATAGAAGACCTAGCTTGAGTCTCTAAAATCAACCTTCAGCATACCATGGAAGCGATGTTATTTTGTAAACTCTTGGAAACTAAAAATGTGTATGAAGAACTTGATGCCATGTTACTTATAAAAGACTAGAGCATACATATTCAAGACATGCATAACACAAATGCAGTGTGTGATTACACTTAAGTGGAAGATCTTTGTATCCAGACAGAAGACAAGAAATAATGTGAGTGTACATTAGTATTAGACTGTGAAGAACTTGGTCTGTACTCCTTAAAACTATGTACTTTTTACCTTTTCCATTTCTGTGCATCTCTATGTATCGTATGGGTTTAGCCGGAGATGTAATGACTTAGAAGTCTTTTCCTCCTGTCTTTGACACTATCTTTGTATAATCCGTACCACTCTGAAACTCTACCCTTCTTAAAAGAAAAAAAGAGCCCTGTTCTTTTATTTGACTTGAGGAGTTAACTCTTAACAGCTTTATCTTTTTTACATTAATTTGATCCATCCTTAAGTAAATAACCTGCTTCAGGCATCTAACCTTTGAGTCTGGAGTTCTTGTCCACCC